GGTATCCAACTTGCGATTTTGGTGTTAATGTGTTATTCTGGAAGTACTTAATTAGTTAAACCCCTTAAATTTCAGTTTGGAGAGAAAAGTATATATTTCCTCCAAAAATTAGTAAGGCATAAGACTTACGTTTTCAACAGTTTTGGCCAAAATTTAGATTTCGTTGAAAATCACATTATAAGTACTCTCGAGCATGGAAATTTCGAATATGTGGTCCACGATTCGATTGCGTGGTAATTAGAGGTTGTAATGATGCTTGGAAAATGTAATGAAGTTTTTCAATGCTAATTACTCATTAACTATGGGTTTCTGAGATGCAAATTTGGTGTTAATGTGTTATTCTGGAAGTACTCAATAAGTTAAATCTCGTAACTTTCAAATCTGAGGGAAAAGTATATTTTGGTCGAAAAATTAGTCAGGCTTAAGGCTTACGTTTTCAACAGTTTTGGCCAAAAATCACATTATAGGTACCCCTGAGCATGCTGATTTCGAATATATGGTCTACGATTCGATTGCGGGGAAATTAGTGGTTGTAATGATGCTTATAAAATTTAATGACATTTTTCAATACTAATTACGCACTAACTATGGGTTTCTGAGGTGCGATTTTGGTGTTAATGTGTTATTCTGGAAGTTCTGAATTAGTTTAACCTCTTGAATTTTAATTCTGAGAAAAAAGTATATTTTGGTCGAAAAATTAGCAAGGCATAAGGCCTAATATTTTGGCGATTTCGGCCAAAAATTATATTTCGTTGAAAATCACATTATAGGTATTCTCGAGCATGGTGATTTTGAATATATGGTTCACGAATCGATTGCGAGGTAATTAGAGGATTGTAATGATTCTTGTAAATTTTAATGACATTTTTCAATGCTAATTACATACCAACTATAGGTTTCCAACCTGCAATTTTGGTGTTAATGTGTTATTCTGGAAGTACTTAATTAGTTAAACCCCTTAAATTTCAGTTCGGAGAGAAAAGTATATATTTCCTCGAAAAATTAGTAAGGCATAAGACTTACGTTTTCAACAGTTTTGGCCAAAAATTAGATTTTGTTGAAAATCACATTATAGGTACCCCTGAGCATGCTGATTTCGAATATATGGTCCACGATTCGATTGCGGGGTAATTAGTGGTTGCATATATATATATATATATATATATATATATATATATATATATATATATATATATATATATATATATATATATATATATATATATATATATATATATATATATATATATATATATATATATATATATATATATATATATATATATATATGCTGATAACCACATAGGAAACGAGAAAACACGAAGTTCCGAAATGTTATCGTGTAATGCCCATCTTCAGGGGTGAGGACAAACTATGGAGAAATTATTGACAATGCTAATACGCATATACTGTACTGTACAGTAATGGAGAGCGAGATAAGTCCCAAGGTACAGTACGCACGTGTCCATCATATTTATGTCAATTGACCAAATAACTAATTTGCTAAGTTTCACATTATATTTTTTACTTTTTTATTCTCCCAGAGTTTGTATTTCTACGTACTGTAATGCCTAGCTACATTGCCTACATGTACTGTACTTGTATGCATAAAAGTCCTTATTCGTACGTTCGTTCATCCTCCTTATTCCTTCACCCACTTCTTCCCTGCTTCTCTGTTCCACCCACACACCCTTCCATACCCTCTCCTCTACCCACATCTTTACCTTCCCCTTTCCTACACCCACCTCCTCCCTTCACCTTTCCTACACCCACCTCCTCCCTTCACCTTTCCTACACCCACCTCCTCCCTTCACCTTTCCTACACCCACCTCCTCCCTTCACCTTTCCTCACCCCACCTCCTCCCTTCACCTTTCCTACACCCCACCTCCTCCTTCACCTTTCCTACACCCCACCTCCTCCCTTCACCTACACCCCTCCTCCCTTCACCTTTCCCTACCCCACCTCCTCCCTTCACCTTTCCCTACCCCACCTCCTCCTCCCTTTCCTCCCCCACCTCCTCCCCTTCCACCTTTCCCTACTCCCTCCCTTCCCCTTTCCCACACCCACCTCCCTCCCCTTCTTTCCTACACCCCACCTCCTCCCTTCACCCTTTCCTACCCCCTCCTCCCCTTCACCTTTCCTACACCCACCTCCTCCCTTCACCTTTCCTACACCCACCTCCTCCTTCACCTTTCCTACACTCACCTCCTCCTTCACCTTTCCCACCCCACCTCCCTCTTCCTACACCCACCTCTCCCCTTTCCTACACCCCCACCTCCTCCCTTCCCCTTCTACACCCACCTCCTCCCTTTTCCCTACACCCACCTCCTCCCTTCCCCTTTCCTACACCCACCTCCTCCCTTCCCCTTTCCTACACCCACATCCTCCCTTCCCCTTTTCTAAACACACGATATCACCCTCCCCTTCCCATCATTATGAAGTTACTGCCTGAGCAACAGTTTGCCCGTTTTGTCTAAGTCGACCCAATCTATAAATAAGCTTAATTAAAGGTTCTCTTCCTTCGTCCCTTTCCACATGATCCTCACCCCACATCCCCAAGGTTATCAAAGCAGGTCTTCTTTTGATTAAAAAGTTTGTCAACACAATTGAGGCCAAAACATACTCGACCTCGTGAAGTTTCTTGAATTGTAAATTAATTCTGCTCTGAGCCAGTTTGCTCAGCGCTTCAGAAGGAGAATTAGATGCACAGGTAAAAGCCGACCTCTTTAAAAATGGAAGCTGAATGTTCGCTTTCTCCAGGGATAAGACTTACCTCTTTGTTGAGGGAGGTGTTTACTGTGGTGGAGGATGATGGAGGATGTTTACTGTGGTGGAGGATGATGGAGGATGTTTACTGTGGTGGAGGATGTTTACTGTGGTGGAGGATGTTTACTGTGGTGGAGGATGTTTACTGTGGTGGAGGATGTTTACTGCGGTGGAGGATGATGGAGGATGTTTACTGTGATGGAGGATGTTTACTGTGGTGGAGGATGATGGAGGATGTTTACTGTGGTGGAGGATGATGGAGGATGTTTACTGTGATGGAGGATGTTTACTGTGGTGGAGGATGATGGAGGTGTTTCCTGTGGTGGAGGATGTTTACTATGGTGGAGATTGTTTACTTTGGTGGAGGTTGCATACTAAGGTAGAGAATGTTTATTGTGGTGTAGGATAATGGAGGTGGTTTACTGTTGGGAAGCATGATGGGGCTATTTACTGAGGTGGAAGATGATGGAGGTCGTCTATCAAGTTGGTGAGCCTTCGCAGTGAGAGGCAATCAATCAGCCAATCGCTGACCTGTTGACATTATTCAGCATTTGGCCAAATCTAAATAAAAAAAAACCCACTTCGAATGTGTACCAGATCTTTGGATAGTGAATGCAAATTATACTGCATACCAGTTTATACTCTTAATACTTTGAAGTGCATTTAACGTGGGCTCTTAAGATTGGTTATTGCAAATTACCCACAATTCTTATAAATTCACATGATTTTTGGGCCTGTCCACATTACCCTTACCCTACATATAACTTGGCATTTCCTGAGTGGTGCCATGGAGGATACTGTGAAACTTCTGGTTTATTGTTTCAAAGCTTTTGCTTGAGGCAATGCAGGGCTATGGCAGCTACTACAGCATGAAGAAAGAATGAAGCAATACAAAATTTAAGTGAGCCGAGTTCATCAAAGAAAACTATTGCAGGTTTGTCAAGCAGAACACAGTGTATATTTCATGATCTACAAAAAGCATGTATCATATGGTGTCTGCACATTGCTTGTCAGGACGACTGTTTCAGGTCTACAAGATGATAGAGGTTATGTATATTCAGTTCACCTTAACCTGATATCACAAAGGTCAAAAGTTTTTTATCTAATTACCAATGGTCTTGTAGTTTATCCTAGTAAAAGGCTGGTTGAAGATGTAAGCAGTTCCTCATATTCATTCACACTGCACTTTGAATAAACCATGTAAGTGCAGGTTAAAGATACAATGGATGCCACACAACAGATCCAAATTATATGGTTGTTTGCAGATAGTGTCCTTTCTACTTAGGGATGCTACTGGTGCCCTGGTTATTGTAGTCTTGCAGTGAAAGAATTGAAGTTCAGATGGCCCAAGGGAATATTATGTTGTGCAATTTCCATTTTGTTCACAATGCATTTGGCAAGGCCTTGTGTGTTTGGAAGTGATGAATAATTTGCAGACCTTACTTCTTTCTTCAAGTATTCTACAGCATTCTTCTTCAGTATCTTTCATTTCCCCATCATTTTTGTGTCCAAGAGCAGCAGACAGGCCAGTTGAACCACTCTGCACTACCCAATTTGACACTTTCTTCAGTCACATTACACCTTTAGTATACCATCTAGATGAACAATATAACCAAGATAATTACATTAGTGACAATGGGTCCCATAGCCCTGTTTTTCCCATTAGGGATATCATGTATACAATGTACTGTATAGGGACCTTTTGTACACAAGAAGGCAGCATAGCCGGCACTACACTTGACCATCTTTGCTTCCCTGATTGTGAACTTATGCCTTCTAATCCTTAAGACAGAAGGTGTGTACTGTGCTGTATTCGCTCAGTTGCTACAATCTTATTGCTGTACACCAATACTAAATGTCTCAAAGCAACAGTGAATTCCTAAAAGAAAACCTGCTGCCTGGATGAAAATTATGGAAAATGTCCATAAAACAACAATGATGATTATAACAATAAAAGACACATGTGCTTTGCTACAAGAGACCTTTATTCACATCCTTAACCTAAAGTGGACTAAAGAATATGACACAAACTGTTAAACTGCATATCTTTAGAGAAAGTCCTCATCAACAAAAATAAACTTGAACTGTACAGCCACAACGAAGTACCTCACATTATTTATGGGTAAATTTTCAGGTTTCCCTCTTCAGTCAAACCTTCAACAACTCTATAATACAATTAATACAAAATAATGATTGATTTAATGATAATGCTAATTTGTATTCCTTAAGCCATAAGAGAGCTGTGACGTTCTTTGAAGCGAGGTAACAGAAAAAAAAAAGTTGATTCCCAGGTTCTAGTTTGACAATGATACATCCAGGGTTTTAAGGCATAAACATGTATAATTCCCAAGCATCAAAATAAATTAAAGTCCCTGGTTAAATGGTAACAAAAGAAAGGTAATTTCTAAAGCTAAAAGGTAACTAAAAGTTAGCCTGGGATTGAAGAACTTAAAAGTACAATTTGTGCCTGAACATTACACTTACAAAATGTAACTGGTCAGCTGTTATGACCTGGGAATGGATATTTAAATCTTTAACAAAAACTTGTGTGGCAGATGATGGGGCAATGGGCACGGCTGACTGTATGCCCCAGATCTGCATTTGTTGAGATTGTGGCTATTGCAAACATTGTGTAATGAAACTTTACAGCAGGATAGAAAGCCTCAGGGCATCAGGGCATCTTAATTACTACTAATATTCTTACAGTGACTACTATGACATTTCTTAATTGAAGGAAAAGTCTATGAAACTATGAAGGAGGGTGGGATTTTGTACATGCATTGCGTCCTTGGTTGTCTTTCAAAGTATGAAGTGATATCATTTGAGTCATAACTGAGAGCCAAGCTGAAGAACAACTCTGGCACAAACAGTAGCAGTTGGCACAAGTGTTCATCATATAAACTATTATATCATGAACGACTTGCATAGACCTAGGAAGTAACACTTCATAATAAACTCTGGCGATGCCCAATACTTTGATTCTCACTTTCCTACTGCAGAAGCTGCTTGGCAAAGGCCATGTCATATAGAAATCTACATCACGTATTATCTAAACATCTTAGGTATAGCTCATCACATGGTTCCCTGGAAGTTAAGATCACAAAATATAGGTACATATCACTCTCACTGGAATTCATCTTTTCATTTTATGCACTTTGACACACTGCTTATGGCTGCTTTGTCTCATAAACATGTCTTCATCCATACAGAACTTTATCTGTAAATATACAACCTCTTATCTTAGGATGCACTTTTACTTCATTCTGAAGGTCCTTAATAAAGTAGATTGTACAGTTCTTGGTCTTTCAAGTTTGCATAATTTAACAGTCACCAGGAAAACTGAAATTATTAAACAATATCCTTAAATAAGTGACTTAAGATAATCACATACCTTGACAGTACACCTTGCTGCTGTAGCTCAACAAGTATAACATTCACCATAAAAGTCAAGGAAAATCACTTAGGAAACGACTCAAAGCTGCATAATTATAATCTAGGCATTCTACAAAGGATATTTGTCATTTAACCCTCCACGTCATAAATCACTTGGGTTAGAAATTGAAACAGATTTTATCTGCACTTGACAGATACCTAGTTTGTCTCTTAGGCACCAGAAGATAACATATAATGCTTTTATTTAAAACAAATATAAAACTCTACTTGACACACTGTCACAACACGCCAATAGCTTTAACTTTGCACTTGGCACTCCTCTTAAAAGCAGTATGATATCAGCTTTCTTGGAAGAGGACATACATGGTCAAACTTATAAGGTGATTATGTTTCACATTTCTATTCAATTATATTAATTAGCTTTTAGCTAAGCACCTCAGATCATTAGGACAGTCTAGGCTGCTTGAGATCCCAATCATGACATCTAGAGCACCAACAGTCAGCAATAACACAATCGTGTGCAATACTCAAATCCTGCAATTTGAGATACAGCACTTGGATTGCTGCCTCCATTGGAGATGTGTGTAGTCAGGTATCTTGTGGGCTACAATAGGTCTGAAGCATTTGTGGTCAGGCTTCTCCTTCCCGAGCAGCTGAAACTTTCTGCACCATACAAGAGCGGGCAACAGATTCAAATAACCTGCAAGAATAATCACTAGTCAGGAGCATTATACTATTCAACCACAGAAATAATTCAATCATTCAGGAAAACTTATCAATACAAATGGACTGATGTACTACTGAATTTCATTATTACTTTACTGTCCATCTCATTTTCAAATGTAATCATACGTACTTCTCAATTTCTGGGGCACACTTTACAAATTCATGACTCCAAAACTTAAATGATGGGTTCTTAATGAGCTCAATGAATGTAATAAGTAGTCCCCATGGATGTGGACGATTGACAATAAGCCGTTCTAGCAGCACTCTAGTAATTTGTTCTTGGATGGCTTCTGTGTTGGCTTCAGCAAAAAGATGAAGAAGAGTGCAGCTGAAGTAGTGTGTATGGCTATTTGGATATCGCAATTGATTAGCAATGGCATTCAGGAACAAGTATCGACCTGTAAAGAAAGACCATTATTTGCGTAATCTATTGTCAACTATTCTCCCGCAAAAAGAAAGAAAAAAAAATTCTCTACCAAACATATTTCATTCCTAATCAAATGGGGTGGAACATAATATAGAACATATTTCTTATATTAACTAAAAATACTTCAGAAAAATTTTCTTTTCAACAAAGAGCTTACCTTCGGTGTCCAAATCAACACCAAGATTCTGGAAAATGTCCATGTGGGCGGAATGAGCAATTGTGGCCATGGAGGGAGTGAGACCCTTGCTATGTATCTGTGAAATGGCCTGCATGCCTACATACAGCACCAGGGAGTTCATCACAGACATATTATAGCTCATCCCAGGTTCATTAGATGCCTGCTGTGGAATGATGAAAACAATCTCTTAACACAATCGTCTTATGTAAACAATAGTTATGCATGTACTGTAAAATTGAGGTCTTTTTCAATGTACTGAATCTTTCAACACTCAATAAACTAATATCACATGTTAGAGGCTTTGTAACCTGTCACTGCCACTTAAGCATTATTGACACTACTACTACAGAAATCCAAATTATTCCTAACTATGACCTGGTTCTTTCTGCATTACAGTATCTACAGCTTTTTAAAAAATTTACATACTTTGCAGCCAAAACATTAATCCGAACAGTAAACACACCTGCAGATAGGTTCGCATGTCGGAGAGAAAAGTTACAGGTGTCCTGTTTTTTAAGTAGGAATCTAAGTTCTTCTTGAAATCTGGAGGCTGAATGAGGTTGGCAACAGTGGTGTGAATCTTAGGTGATATAGTAATTTCAGGCAGCATATCCACTTTGAGATTGGGTGTAAAGGGATCTGGAAGGCGCATGTTTCGTGGAAAGGCAGAGAGAATGAGATTACGCATCTGGATGCAATTTGGAGGGATGACATCACAGAATCCGTAGTGATACTCGCATAAGAATTCAGGGAAATCATGGAGAAGGACCAACAGCACACGTAAGGTACCCTGGAAAATGAATCGGTAAATTCATAAATTATATAAAACAAGTAGGAACTGCAACAGCAGTATTTCAAAGCATCAAATTTACTATATGCCATGATAATTACAGTCTTAGATAATCTTTACCTTATACAACATAGTCAGTGGTTTTGCAAGTTCTGCATTCCTTAGAAAGGGTGCCAAGAACTTAAAGAGATCTGCTAACAACATGGAGTACATGGACCATCCTTTCTGCTGTGGTGTGATAGCCAACATACGTCCAATGAACACCCTGTGGCTGACAATCTCCAGCCAAGCATATGCAAAGCCAGGGCACTTGCTAGGCCGTAGCAAGTGTAATGTTTGTGTGAAGGCCATCAAAACCTGAAACAGATCCTTGCTGGTACAGTAAATACAGAGTATGGCAACACAAAGTAACTCTCATTCAACTGCATATTATGAATACATGTACAGTACTTGACTAAAGAAATTACAGACAGTATGTCATCATAAAGACATGAAAATTACTCAAAATAATCTTTACCAAACCATACACTCTATGCTAGATTAAGTTTCTCAAAGGAAACCACTAATTAATTTTTTACTCATTCAACCTCTTTAATGTGGATGTTTTCCCCCTTCTACACAACTATACAAGAGGTCTTACATATGAAGAAGAGCCATCTATGAGGTCACTCATCTGTAAGGGATATGTGCTCTTAGGTGAAACAGGGTTGACATACAGTGAGTCATACAGACTCTATTTTATAACATTTGTTTGAAATTGTATGTCTGTAATGTATGTATGTATGTATGTATATATGTATATATGTATGTATGTACGTACGTATGTACAGTACTGTACAGGGTATATATGTGTGTGTTTGTTAGTTAACTTATACAAACTATTTTGGAGTAATCTTAGAGAAAAGCTATCCTCCCAATTTCTGCTAACCCCTTTTTTTCCTGTCACAATCCACTTGATCAATGTCATTGAAATCCTAGTACAGTAGTGTCCTCTTTGAAAATAATCACAAACATGACAAACTACTCCTGTTTTATTGTGTACAACCTCACACTTGCTCTCCATATTTAATATAATGTATATTAAGAGATCAATTTCTATTTCTGAATGATTACACCCACGCATATTAATGGGTAGTAGAATGAATGAATGCCAACAAATGTGACCTGTCTTACACATCAGGTGTGGTCCTAAAATGGAGTTTGTAGCCCTAGCTTGTTTGTTAAACTGGAGTTGTGTTATGACCATTGCCTTTAAGTCATTACAGACAACCAACATATCAGATTTAATGAATCAGTTCAAGCGAATATTTCACACATATCTGCTATGGGCGCCTCAGTTAGAATTGAGCTCTTCTTAAATTGTGAGGACTACAATTACAGTATGGCTAACAAAAGTGAGGTGTACAGTATCAAATGGGAGGAGGATTTACTTACTGTACTATGAAGCTCAAGTACTTTTATGTAAATTTCACTATCAGAAGCTGAAGCATAAACTTGATGTAGTTTTTATCACTAACAGGAGGAGATGGTATCCCTTCCCCAAGTTGTATATGTACCTAGACACATTTACTGTACAGTAATGCTTGAAAATCCAGGGTCAAAGGTAACAAATTATGGCTGGTAAAATTTGTGATCTTTAAATTTAACCAAAGCAGTAAAACTGTAAATACAAAATCATGGAAAAATTTTATTCGTGTTGTGAAAGGGTTTAGTTTGTTAGATTAATCGTCAGATATTAGAAATACATTACATTTCAATTCTGAGTCAAGTCAATCACTTCTGTAGGTTTAAATATCTAGATATCTATTATGTATTATAAATGTAGTTTCTGAGTTCCTAAAACAATGACAAGAAAGTAGCATCAACCATGAGCAACATAGCACACTGCAGGAATACAAGGATTTTTTTTCCCTCAAATCAGTCAGTTGAAACTGTGAAAAACTTTTCACAAATAAAATGTTCCCAAATACAGTCAGTTCTGCTACTATGTGATAGTTGTGTTCTTGTAAAACCTTGCATTGTAGAAATTCGCACAGTAGAAATAACAGGGCTTATGGAGAAAATAGGGTTAGGTACAGCTTATTCGAAATCGAAAAAAATTTAGTAGTTAGCCTAACACAAAGGAGAGCACAGTCTAAATAAATGTTACATTCATATCTAATTATGAAATCATACAGTAAATGTAACAGTTAACACCACAAAATTGGAGAAATAGTAAGCAAAAAACCATTGAGGATGCTTTAAAACAACCCACATGTTTCAACTGATCATGTGATGGAAATAGATCGCGTGGGAGTAAAATGCTATTTGTCCGCACTGCGAAACTTTTTTTTTTTTTTTTCATACAGTACTTATGGGAACAGCTAAATTTGCAAAAAAAGTTTGAAATTTATAGTCCCTATCAAATAACACTTCACAAACAGAACACATGAATCAATTGAACATGTGATGTCGAACGTGAACTGTAAACACTGCATAACCCCGCGCCAAGCGACAGTACACTTAAAACCTTCGAGTGGAATCGCGTTACAGCCAACACGCGTTCGCGTTTTACAACTATCGTTCTTCTATTCATCAATCGCGTTATAGCCAATTTGCGTTGACAAAATACGCGTTGTAGCATAAATGACTATGCCAAAAAGACGCACCATCAGCCAAAAGTGGTTGGTGCTTTTGAAGTTTACACAAATTATTATTTCCCCAAATTATTACAGAAAATTAATGCTCATGATTGACATGAGTAGAGAACCTAGAAATTGGTTTTAAAATTAATTCTTCATTTCATATTCCAGGGGCTACTATTTTCATAACTTGTGTAGTACAGTACAATCTTTTATAATGTACCTGAAAGTGTATAACCCAGAATACTTGTCATAATGAAATAGCTAGTGGAACAACAAAATTGTGAATTGAACAACTTTAACTTTGGCCACTCTGTCAGAGCAAATACAGTATTCTGAATTCTAAAATTTTAGGTATCAGAGGTTGCAGCCCCCGGGGAAAAAAATATGGAAATCAATAAATTCTATAATGGCTAAGTTGCACCCATGTAGATGATGTGTTGTGGGTGTATGCAACTATGCTGGTAGGGTTAGGTTAGGATCTTTAGATAATCATGTACAGTACTGGGGTTTTCATTATATGTCGGGGATGTGTTCCAGAAAAATGACTTGATTTCTAAAGAAAGCTTTCAGACACTCAGCTTACAACAGGATCATTATAACATACTGTATCCACTGTATTGTATAATATTTGATATGGAGATACTTTCCTCACAACAATATTTGTTACCTTTGAGTGATACATGACTCAATTTAGCTACTTGTAAAATACTGTAAAACAACTGATTAATAAATAAAGCAGGTATATGAAGGTGCATAATACTCTACACATTATTAAATGCTGGTAAATACACTACAATATTATCTACCGTTAATATAACTGGTAAAGACAAAAGTGGTAAACATGAGGGATGGTGTGGGCAATCAGCTGTTTGTACTATGTAAACAAAGCAGCCAGGGTCGAGTGTGGGATTTTTTTTTTTTTAAGCAAAATTGTGTATTTTACAATAAAGTGTTTTAAACCAGCACCAAGTAAGCCTAAATAATATGGGAATTACAGTATTGTACGGTGAAATGGCATACTGTAGTTGTAGAGGGATTGCAAGCTCCTCTTTCGCCACTCTCCACCTCCTCTTCCTGGCTACACACCCAAATAGTTTTATATTTCTTGTTTTCACTCCATTTCTTTACATGCAAACCCTCCATTATATAAAAATTGAATAAGATTTTATAAACTTCCAGTTTTGATGTTGGAACACTTGTGTGATTTAAATGTCCACAATGACATTCACAGTAGTCCAGCAAGTCCTGGTGTGTTGCCAAACCACCTACTACTCTCAGATACTTGTACACTCCATTTCCCAACAGAATATACCCTTACTCTCATATTTTTTTATATATTACTATACAGTATCTAGTATTTTATTTAATCCTAAGAAATGCAAATACTCTGAGATGACTTTTCTGCAAATTCTGTGGTCACTTCCATATAACATTGGCATAGTGCGCAATCGTGTGAGTTGTGACCAACGTATTCTGGCGTGGTGGAAACTTAACACTTTTAGGACACTTACATTACTTATTATAGCGATTTTTACATTATAGTTGAGGTTTTTTACACTATTTATGCATCATATTCAGATACACACAATCTTACCATAAAATGGTGGATAATGCAAACGACATATATGTGAAACAAATGACGTATAATGAAAATTTCTTCCTATACTTGTTAGTGACGTACAGTATATGTGAAATGATGTATATCCTTACAATGTATAACGAGGATGCCCCCCCCCCCCCATAGGTGTAACAGAGCTATAGGATTATGCAAGAATATTTTGCTTAAGTACAGTATATGGTTGCAACACTGGTGGTATGGCAAGGCTAATTGAATTTTTTATTTTTTTACCTAAATGTAAAGTCACCACAATATTGTACAGTACTAGTACAGTTAAATAGGAATTCTTAGGTAAATGTGTTATGATAATGGTATGGTTTGGTTAGAAACTGTGGCTAATATGAAGTTGCCACAGTGGTGGTGTGATTAGGTTAAAATCTATGACTACATTTCTGACTGTCATATTATTTTTAGTCATTGAGTAAGGGATGAGAATAAATATAAAAATAATTACAGTAAATCCTCGATAACTCGGATATATGGGATTATAACCATCCCAAGTTAATGAGACACTTCCTTCCAGGTCTTTTGTCTTTTTTGTCTCTCTTTATTTGCCTCCTACCCCAACACTCACACTAAACTGACAGACGCTTAACCAAGTGGCAGAGCCTCCCAAGCATCCCGTGTGGGTACCACGTGTTGTGCCATTCCGAGATTGCCTCATCATAACTCGGAATATTGTGAGTTGTGTAAAAAATAAATTACAGTTGAATATTTTACTGCCATGCCGAGTTATATAGAATTTACAAGTTATTGAATTTCAAGTTAATGCTTGCATTTATTGTTAACTGGCCCATCCCAATATACTGAAATAGATACATTCCATTGAATGTATTCTTTTTCTTATTTTCAACCCATATAGGGCCCCCCACCAAAGTTATGAAGGGTCTACTGTAGTTAAATCACCAGCAGTGAATGTTAAATATGATTCTCAAGCCTTTAAAAGACTTTCAACACAAATGTAATAAAATATATGCTTTAAAAAATCCTGATAACCCTGTAGGCTCATTAAGACTATTACACTAAAATTAAAATTAGATTACTTATAAAATTTCCCTAATATTTTAAAGGTTTTCTTCCTTCAAGTACTGCAGAGATCCAGCAAGACTAGGAGTGAGGGCTTTTCTGTGCAAGTGTTAATTACCAAACCATTATGAATTTACATAAGGCAGGTTAAGTTGAATGATGCTTCCTATAGGCTGACTGGACCAGAGGGATCACTCCATTTCTCTCTAACAGTGGAAGTAACTGAACCAGCATGGCACGTTCTATGCTTTTGATATGAATGAGAGATTGGAGACTCAGTCTATAATTTGACATGAAGCATTGTGAGAAGAACGAACGAACCCACCACCTTTCCCCTCGCAGGCTGAAACTTGTAGAGGGAGGTGGTGGGGTGAGCCATGGTAAAAGCAGCCTTCAGCCCATATAGTACATGGGTCAAGTTTGATGAGCAATTCCTAAGCGTGGTAATTACGTATTTATTAACTTTATATAAAACGCATTTTACTCAAAACTTATTTTTGGCATTTACACCTTTCCTTCTCATGACGTCTCACATTTTCAGTATCAAAACCAGGTTCTTTAAAAAGTGGATGCAATACGGCTTGTCTTATAAATTGCACAAAATAACCCTCTGCAAATCATTTATTAATGATTCTACAAATAAAGTCTGCAGCATGTTCATAAGCGAGTGAAACCTTAGATCCATTTATAGGATCAAGATGACAAAAAGTCTACTTCAAATCCTTGATACAGAGTAGAATATTATTCACCCCTACAGGACAAAACGATGAAAGAGTAAGGTCTTTGGTGCAACTCAGTAGAAGTTCAACTGAAAATTCCTCATTTAAAGAAACCCCATCAAGGTCATTTCTTGTACATGATATCTTTGTCATAAAAAACAAGGAAACATCTGAGGCAAGCTGAGCCACAAGAAGCTACTTGACTTCTATATTATTTAACTTTGCATGCCCTCACTGAACAAACAACAGCCCTACAAGCAATCATATACTCTGAGCTTGTATGGCGTGTTCTCTGCCTGCACCACTGTCATTCAACACTTACAATTCATCCAACCATGTCTACGATGAAACTGCTGAGATGCAACCAACTGTGAGGCAAAAAACCACAATCAGTGTTTTACTGTACATTTAGTTCACCTTGAAATTTTGTGATACTGGTTCCGTGCCTGATTCTATCAGTGCACAGGATTTTCCCCCAAAAGCTAAAAATGATAGACACAGCTAAGCAAGGGGTAAGCACAGCTATGGCTAAACATGAATATGGTCTGAAAAAGCATTTACTGCAATTTAATTAAGTACAAAATGAAGTTGATGAAATGTAAGTCAGCAGACCTCCTATGGTTAACGGACCAAAAGAATACCAGGATGGTCAACAATTGGTATGAAGGTATTAGCTGCTTCAAGTTCAGTCTCACCAATGGTCTCTTTCATAACACTACTACTGTAAGAGACAGCAAGTTTACTTTTCATTTTCTCACCTCAAGCCCTCCACACCAATTCCCTGGGACAATAAGCTCTTCAACAAATCTAAATCAGTCAAAACCACAAAACTTGTTTTTACCTGTCTTGGGGACAAAAAGTAATGTTAAATGTACAACATTTTAACTTATTTGTATCCTTATCTTTACACAGCAAACAGGACACTGGTCAGTCATTTGTGCATTGGGCTGATGTTTAAGTGTAGTGTGGTACTGCCTTTGTCCAAGAAAATGTATTATTGCAGTGACACTTATCCAGTTTCAGACATTTCATGCTTTCAAACTGGCATTTCTCCCAACTATGGATGTCTAAAAAAGTGATAATTAACTATACAGGTACAGTACATAAAAAACATGCAAAATCTTCTTTTGTGATTTTAAAAGTTTTCCTTTTAAAATAAAATTGTTGCAAGGATTGGATAAAAAACCTAGATGTCTATAAAAATTATGCTCCATGTAAAATGCACTTTTTACAACCATTATCCACTACACGTATGCTACATCTCATGAGCAACAGTGCACTCAATGATAAAGTGAGAGATTAAGAACAATGGGAATTCATGGTAGAGCTACAAAGGAGACTGAAAGGTAATTAAGGAAATAATATTACATAACAAAATTTGAAGACAAACTGAATTAAAATAAATGGAGAGAACAACGAGCATCACTAAGGAAGAGACTTTCTGGATGTTGTTCATAAACACTATTTTTTGTAACTCTTATGACATCTAGAAAACTAAACTAAAGGAAATGCATCACTTTATAAAGTATTCATTGTGGAAATTGGATGGAGAGATTAAGAATACACTACAAAGAAAAATAAAAACCAAGAGACCAAAAGAAAAATGCACATCAGTTTATGAACACCCTCCAAAGTGTTGCTCCACAAGTAGGTTGGCTTACTTCACATACCGGAAGGTTGATAGACTCTAAGATAGCTTCAGGAGCATTGAGTTCCAGAAACAGCATTATAAGGATGCGGTGATAGGGCAGTTGTTGAAACTCTGTACCATTGGATTCAATGTCATGAATCATGATGCCACATACTAATCCCAGAACCTGAAACAGAAATTACCAATATTATAATAACAGCAGTAATCTCTTAAATGCTTGTTTCTGGTCTTCAATATTGGTCATTTTATATTTAAGTTTGGGTGTTGCAAGTAGAACCTGCAAAAAAAATAAATAAATAAAATAAAAGTTCAAATATATTTCATGTCCTGATAGTTGCTGTTAGTGCTACCAATACAAGCTTCAACATGAGCCTTTGGGAAATCTGAATTTCTTAAGTTTACAAGTATCCTGTACTGTATAATGAAATGATTTTGTTCATTAATTTTCAGGATGAATCACAAATTATGAATGAATGTAAAATTTGATCGGTGACTGGTTACTTAGTTCCCCATTGCTTAATTTATGGTTGGGCTTCGTTGTTTCGTATTATATTATACTAAGTACTATAGTAAATAAACGGCCTTGAGTTGCCAGCTGTCTCCAGCAGTGTTCGAAGAATCTTGAACGAGACTGTACATGGATAAAGTGATAAAAGTAAGTAGAAAGGAAAAGGATGTTTGAATGGAGAGAGAGAAAAGAGGGAGTGAGGTGTTTCAGTTGTCTGGGAGGGGATGTGTCAGTATATGGACCAATGAATGATGAATCACTGGGTAGTGGTGAGAACACTGCAGTAAATATCCACCAAACACAAAAGTATTTAGTTTGAAGCCAGCTAACAAATAAAACATACTACTTCAATGACCAAGGATATTCCTAAATTTGTGTTTTGTCATTATTTGTTTTTTCCTACCTGCAGCAAATGATTAATGCTTTATGAGAGATATGACTACCGTGGGTTGCAGAATAATCAAGATATTGAAATCCCCATCCATGCATACACACTTACTCTTGCATCCGTATCCATGCCTCATACCACTACAATACTGTCAGTTAATTCAACTAGTGCCTTGTACTTTGACAGCTTTGTTTCCTTTGAGACAGTTCTTAAATCACTGTTCTTTACTGACATTACATACCATAAACATTTAACTTCGTGCATTCTGTCTCCATTTGCTACACATCCACTTACAATACCAGAAATATTTTAAGCCCTCCATTTTGTTTCCATCATTAAAATGAATAATCTTTCCCTTCTCCATTTACCTTCTTTCTTTAATTCTGTTCATATTCACATTTAACTTTCAATTACTTGATTCTCTTCCAAATTCGTTCACTAACACCAGCATCATATCTTTTGAAATGCATCTTTTTTTTAAAGAGAGTTAAAAATATTTACTGTATTTTAGCTTTCAAGCAATTAACATTAGTTAGTTCTTAAAAATAAGATTACACTTAAACCAAACATCTAGCCTTCTAATGTCTACAATTACCTTATTGAGTAGATTGATCTTGGTAGTAGGATTGGTAGCCTCCCCTGAGTGTTTGACTAATAGGGCAATGAGCCGCACAAATGCATCCAAGTTCTGGAAACACTTGCTGCGTACATAAGTAGGTGAAGGGCCCTGACCTTGCTCCAGAATGGAACGCACACACAGATCTCGGCACATGCTGATGCAGATGCGGAAGAATCTGTAGGTAGATTTCTTTTTAGATTTGGTGAAAATATTAAGCCTGCATATTTACTAATAACATACATGTTATTTGGTGTCTTATTACTTTTATATCTTAAAACCAAATTTCCTGCTATAACAGATGCACTTTAATCCTAATATTGGTCAAACCCAAGACTCCCTCATTTGATGATACACTGGTTTCCAGATGACCCCATAATGAAATAAATAAATAAAGTGATAGTCACAATAATTCGCAAAATACAAATTCACATTCTTAAATTTGCGGGTACCTTTATTACTACCCATTCTTTTTTTTCAATTTTGCAATAAAATACTGTATTCATAATTCACGGTCGAGCAGTGGCAGCCGCAGTGTTTATTTACATAATAAACCGTAAGAAATATGGAAATATCATTTCAATGCCCTAATGTGACCAACTGTAGAAATATGGAAAATATAATATAAAACAAAAAAATTAAAGAAATGAAGCACGGGAAGTGAATTCTGGATGGACTCAACGGAAATTGCCCACCCCACAACAGTACAGCAAGTAATTTCACCATAATTCCCATATTATTTAGGTCTATTTGGTACCAGGTTAATGAAACATTTACTGTATAGTAAAATAATAAATTTTCACAGAAAAAAATAAAAAAATAAATCCCACACTAAACCCCAGATGGGTTATTGAGTTTTTGGCCTCTGGGACCTAATTACTGTACTGTATTTCCATTTAAATTAATTATTTATTTGCAATTCAATAATTCACCATGTCTTTTGGTACCTAACCTGTGAATTATCGACACTTCACTGTATACGGCACAGTACTTCCTAAATTTAAAAGTACTACAGTAAAGTTAATTTGGGAATTTCACAAACAGTTATAATTCTGGGTTGGCAACCACCCCACTCATTCAGTACTTTTATTGATAAAATGCATCCTTAGATTTTTTTTTCTTTTCTTTTTTTTTTGCCAAAATTGGTAAAAATATCAAGTTCAATGATAGTTCTTCTGGGAAGAAAAAACTTGAAGAACTGGTAATTTAAGGTCATTTAAAATGTAAGGTAGCACTGACAAAGAAGCTGCTGCTACTTAATTTTCTCGGAGATATTCCCTGTTAAGTTAGGGGTGCATCTTATATGAAAGGAAATAACAGAGGAAATGCATTCTTTACCTAGTAATGAGATCATCAGTTTTAAGGATTCCATGAAGGTTCATTTGCTTCACGAAATGTTGAAAAGCAGATGCTGAGCCTTGGCCTGCTGTTGGCGAGTGATACATTTGAATCCATTCTCTCAACAACACCTCAGTTTTCTCTTGTAGAGCTGGTGGATCCTGAAAATCTCTAGCTTGTGTAACACCTGAATGGAAATGAAGGCTAGGGCCTGCTGACAATGGGTTGTTTGATCCACTCAGGTTGTTTCCGCCAGTCAAACGCTCACCACTTAATAAGTCATGCTTCATGCGCAATGCTTCAATAAGTGAAACAAGACCCTCTGGAGCTTGTCGGGAATGGCACAATCGCACCAAGGCCTCCAAAGTCAACTGTAGGTCAGTTTCATTTAGCACACTATTGCTGGGGTCATCTATAAGGTACATCTGAGGAAAATAAAAATGGTTCATTAGGTAACATTAGCACTGCATTTCCCACCATCTGAACACTGCAAATCAAATGTCTGAACCTACACATGCACACATACATGCACTTAATTATGTACAAATACTTTTCACCCTTGCAAGCCCTTTCTACCTATATTGCACATAAGTTATAATCATGAGTCAACACAACTCTCTCTCTCTCTCTCTGTCTTAGCCGCAGGGTGGAATGATTTAAACCAATAATTAAATTTATTTCATAGCAATGTGTTTTCTCTACCTTAAACTAGTTGTATTATGCTGTATTAAGACACAATCATACTGTATATACCCAAACATTTCAAGTAGCCAGAAAACCAGGACCATTGGTATGCACATTATGAAATATACTTAGAAAAAGGCTAATGAAAAATATATTAAAATAAAAAATGGATTCAATAATATGGTTTTAACTATTGGTTTAAAGTAATCCACACTGTACACACCACGCACAGACACTCTGGTTACAAAGTCTAAGTTATATGGTCCTTATCCAAATCAAATTCAAACCTAAAGTTTATATTGACTACAAGATTTCTTCAGCATTACTCATGCACCATCTTTTCCAGCACCTGTTACTTAAAGGAAGGTGACCGGTGCATTCAAATTCCTGTGTAGAATTTGTTATTGAACACTACCCATTGGGAGTACTTGTGAGTCATAAGGGCATTATCATAATATCCATCTAGTACCCATTGTCCTTATGACCACCAATGGTGCTCCTGGTGCCATCAGGATATAATAGGTATCTGGAGTCCTTTTGATATGGT